CCCCCCGCCCCCGTTTTTGAGACAGTATCTAGGTAGCCTTGGCTCTTCCTGCCTCATGCTCCCCCAAGTGCTGGGATTAAAGGTGTGTTCCCATCTCCAGATACCTTTTAATCACTATCTAGCCCTGCACGGCCTGGAATTCACACATGTACCCCCTCTACCCCAGAGTATGGGGATCCAGTGTGTGCCACGATGCTCACATTCACATACGAGGTCGGAGAACAATTTGTACGAGTCATTTTTCTGTCATATGAGTCCTTGAACTCAGGTCCTTTGGTTTGGCAACAAACACCTTTACCTACACCATCTCATAGATCCACCATATACTCTTTGAAGCTGGGACCCCTCCTAAAACTAGAACTGACATTTTCTTGAACAAGCCCCCAAGTTCTGTCTCTGCATCCCTCAGCGCTGGGGTTACATACATGGCATCCAAACTCCAGTCCTCATGACTGTAACCAGTGGAGCATTCTCGCTAGCCCCCTTTACCTTTTAGTTTGAAACAGGACCTACATAGTCCTAGAGCTTGCTATGCAGACCAAGCTGCCCTCAGACTCACAGACATCCTATCTGTCACCTGAGTGATGGGATTAAAGGCGTGCACCAAGACACCTTGCTTTATGGAATGGCCCCACTGAACCTGCCTGAGGGATGCTCTTGTCTGGACCTCTCAAGAGCAATAAAAACACTGGCAAAGGCAGCCTTTATTTCAAAGCAGGGCTTCTCTACAGAGCCCTGGTTGTCTGAAACTCAGTGTAGAGCAGGCTGGCTTCAGACTCCAGGTCCGACTGCCTCTGCCGGGATTAAAGCTACCACACACCACAGGCTCGGTGCGATGGTGCTCATGCCTGTAATCCCAGCACTCGGGAGGCAGAGGAAAGCCAATCTCTGGTGGTCTAGAAATTGAGTTCAGCACAGCCAACCAAGGCTACACAGAGAAACCCTGTCTCAAAAAACCAAATTAAAAAAAAAAAAAAAAGAAAGCCATGCACCACAAGCATCTCATATTAATGATAGGGATTAAAGACATGTCCTTATGCTTGAAGAGCAATGACTCCTGTCCCTTTTTTAATACATCCGAAGTAATGAAATAGATGACTTATAGGCTAGCTAGCTCAATCTTGAAAATTCTGAATTGAGACACTACTATCTTCTTTCAAACTCAGTATTCTCTTTTCTCCAAGGTCTTCTCCAGCTCCCCATTTCTAGCAGTCTCTGGCCATAAGCACTCTACCCTCATGACAGGCCTGACTATCTACCTAGTGAGAATAGTCAACTTCACTGCCTTCCAGCAGATGTCATCACCTGTTTTCATTAATGTTTCCTGTGCACTCACCAATCAACATGAGGCTGTGTTAGTCAGAGCAAGGGATGTATCTGGTACAGGTGAGCATTGGGTACTGTTTTTAATTTACACGGGGAAGGAATGTATTTTCTTAGAGGTTTGAGTCTAAGCGTTGTAGTCTGGAAGTTGCTATGCATACCAAGCTGGCCCTATAACCCCAGCATTTTGGGGGGGAGGGGCAGAAGAGCGATATACACAATGCAACCTTGCCAGGTAGAAACAGCTACATCCAACCCCATCTTCAGCTCGTTCATTAAAGCATGTGAACACACCTGATAGAGAACAAGCATTAAAACCTATAGAAATCAAGTATTAGGTCACAATATCTAGTCAGAACACATAGGCACAGGTGATATTCTGCTGACTTTATTTAGACCTTCATCTGGAAAGTATTTCAACAGGAGTGTATGATCAAAGTAGTGTCTTTTGTCATTTGTGTGTGGCTATATAGAGTATATGAGCGTGTACTGAACCAGTCCATCTTCAGTGCCATTCCCCAACTGTCAACTGCTCTCACTAGCCTCAAGCAGAGCACTCTAGGGTGGTTCCTAGCTGGCCAGGCAGCTTGCCTCTGCCTCCCCAGCAAAAGGATCACAAGCACACATGCAGCTGGTATGTAGCAGGATCCAAGAGGGCTGTGTGTACAAAACTCATGTCTGGCAGTGCTGGTGCACTTTTAATCCCAGCACTAGAAGCAGATAGGCGTGCATCTCTGCATTAGAGGCCAACGTGGTCCAGAGTCCAGGGCAGCCAGAGCTTCAAGAAACCCTCTCAGAAAACCAACACTCAGGTCTTCATGCTTCAAACATTTTCCCTCAGCTATCTCAACTCATAGTACCTTCACCAATGAGTAAGATCAAGAACCAAATATGCTTAAAATCAAGGGGTCCAAGCATGGTGGTGCATTTCTCTAATCCCTGTAGTCAGGACAGCCAGGGTTTCTGTGTAGCCTTGGTTGTCCTAGACTGCTTTATAGACCAGACTGGCCTCAAGCTCAGATATCCGCCTGCCTCTGCCTTCCGGTGCTAGAATTAATCATGCACCACCACACCCAGCTGAAAAACCCTGTCTTAAAACTGGACATAGTGGTCTGCCTAGAATCCCAGCACTGAAGGTAGAGGCAAAAGGATCAAAAGGTTGTTCTTGGCTATATGACAATCTAGGATATGTAAATATGTATGGGAGGAAGGAGGGGAGAAGGCCATGAGCCTACACTTTTATTATAAATGGTTAGGACATAAACCAGAATGTTGTCTAGATATGGTATGCTGAGGACAGTTAAGAGAAACTTAATCAGCAGGCTGGCAAGATGGTAAAAGGCTCTTGCCCTATAAGGCTATGACCCCGACCTGACTCCATGTATGTGCCATGGTACCCCCAAAGACACATACACTCATTCAAACAGGATTACATCTTAAAGCCTCAGAACAATTTTCTAACAGCTGGGTTATCATACTTGCAAGGCAGCAGGGGATGTGAGAGTGTCAAACAGACTGTCCTCTAACTTGAGATTCCCCCTAGTGAGGGGTCACTACTGGTACCACAGGGCATGTAGACCAGCCTAGGCTTGAACTTCAAGAGATCCATCTGCCTTCGTGCTAGGACTAAAGACCAGGCACAAAGTACCATTGCAGCCTTCTTCGGTGGTTTTCAAAACACTATCCTGGATGTTAACATAATTACCCTGTTATGGCAATGCAGATTACTGCGAAGATTCAGGTGTCTTCAAGAATTTTGTTGGTTCTCACCAGACCCTTCTGTTTACCCTCTTTGCTGTGCTGGCATCAACTGCTTTCATCTTCCTAGGTAAGGAGTCTGCAAGCCAAGGATGCTAGCCTGGTCCACAGATGGTTATAGTAAACAGCCAGGGCAACATACAGAAAAACGGGGGGGGGGGGGGGGGCACGCGGGACGACGACACAACCAACCAACCCTAAGATACCACTATTGCCGAAATGTGAACTTTTTAGCCAAAAGCTGAAAAAAAATCATGAGTATCTGCCTATCAGTCACCTCCAATAAAAGCTGGTTCCAGGACCCATCAGAAGTACCAAAAAATAATATATCAAGCACTCGAGCATTTCCACTTCCATCTACACATCTTAAATAATCTCTAGGTTACTTGTAACACCTACTAGCATACATATGCTGTGAATATGCTGTAGTTCTAGCATACTGGTTAGGAAATTACTAGTATTAACATAGAAGATAATGTCTTTTGAAGGCAGACTTACTGGAAGCATTATTTTATACTAACACTTAAATCTCATTTTATTTAATTTTTTTCTTACAATCACTTGCTTGGGTCAGGGAGGAAGCACAAACATGCCCTGACACAAGTGTGGAAGAGACAACACGGGGTAGTCTGTCCTCTCCTTCCACCATGCAGGTTCTGGGGCTTAAGACAGGCTTGTTGTCAGGGGTCTCTGCTGGCTGAATCATCTCGCCGGCCCTTAAATCTCATTTTTGAATGGACTTTAGTCTTCAAGGCCTTCCTGCAATCAAAATACAAACCTTTTTGTGGCATCCCTTTTTTTTCCAGCGTACAATGCCTTCCTCAACAAGATACAGACTATCCCAGTTGTTTACGTACCGACTCTAGGGACGGCTCAGCCAGGTAAAAATCCTCTGGCCTCACTCAAACTTCAGATGCGTGTGTTTCTATCTGCCTTTATATCTTCCCTTTTCTTGTAGGTTCTTACACAACAGGCTCCCCCCCTCACTTCCTGAGCCCACAGCCACCGCCAGTGCACAGCCGGCTGCAGCACTGGCTATGGAGTATAAAGCACTAACGCAAATACGGCCATACCCTGTAACTGCAGGGGACTGCAGACACCCATCCTGCAGAAGCCTAGTAGCAAACTCTACACTAACCTCCAGAACAAGGGTTCTATGAACTGTAAATAAAGGATCTTAAGTGGTTTAATTAAAACACAAACAAACAAAAAAAAAAATCACATGTGTTGTAAAGACTACTTTTCTGGGGCTAGACTGCCCCAACCCTGGGTTTCTAGTCCTAGCACAGCGTAAACTGGAATAGTGAGCTACAGGGCCATCAGTTGGGAGGGATCCTCTGCCACGTAACTTGAAGCAAACGGCACTGTTCTCAACAACACAGAAAAACAGCAATCCTGGGAGCTGGAGAGATGGATCAGTGGTTAAGAGCACTGTCTGTTCTTCCAGAGGACCCAGGTTTAATTCCCAACACCCACATGGCAGCTCCCAACTGTAACTCCAGTTCCAGGTGGTCTGATGCTCTCACACCAATGGACACAAAATACAATTATTTAAAAAAACAAAACAAAAACTGGCTGTCCTGAACCCGCATGCCTCTGCTTCTCAAGTGCTGGGATTAAAGCTCTTTATCACCACCTCCTGAACGAAGTTACTGTCACATACCTCTGCAGGACACAGTTATGTCCTATCAAGAATAAGTACTTTCCTCAAGAGTTCCCACCAAGAGGACATTAGAAGAGCAATAGAGCCGAACTAATTCTCAGTATCACAAATTTAAAGTATAGCCGAAGATATGCCCAATGAACCTAGATAAGCCCCTAAGGGACTCTTGGATATTTGGCCACTTACTTGACCCAAAAGGACCACTCTTCTGTTACTTGAGACACAACTTCCTACTAGTGAAACAAGACAAACACTATATATCCAAAATGTGTTTATTGGGATGGCTCCCACTCATCCTCAATCGGGCGCATTCAGTGCTGCTTCCTCCTGAAGGAGCATCCTGGAAGAAAAAGGTCCAAATGTCATCACCCTGCCACTGGCCCTGCTTTATCTGCACAATACTCAATCTGTTCTCAATTCTATTAGCTACTTCCTAATTATACATGTACCTTTCACCACTTCCTAAATATCTGGCGCTAACCAGAAACCCATTTAAAACAAAGGCGGCCCACCCCAGCTTTAATAGTGCTTTGAGAGCACTACAACTATTAGTAATACCTCTTTAACAGGAATGCTGCTCCTTTTACTAGCCTGAAGGCTTGCTTCTACATTATCTCTTTTACCAAAGGATCTAAAGGCAAAAGCTCCAAAATTAAGAACACTTACCTTCTGTCAGCCTTGCTTTTCCGCCAGTAGGCTGACAGAGAACAGTGGAGCAGCCAACACACAATACTACCGTTTGTGCATGGCTAAAGACCGTGGTGATTTTATAGCATCCTGGAAGAAAAATTAAACAAAAAAATATTAACTTCTTTCCATTTTCTACAAGTTACCATCCCTTTAATGTTCCCTAACCAAAACAGTACTGTTTCGGTACCACTAATTCAAGCATTTATTTCAAGATGTGTTATGTTCACACATCTCATTTAATTCTAATAAAAAAAAAAAAATCAAGTTACAACTCAGCACTAATTTTTTCCGACTGCTTAAAATCAGTGCTTAACCCCGCTCCAGCATACCACTTCCTCACCTGGGCATTTCACATCCATAAAGTAGGAATTGGGGCTCTGCACCAGGCGCTTTTTCTTGTGTTTCCTCTTCTCCTCTTCTGGAGAGGGATGGAGGAGATCCTTTGCGAGCTAAAAGGTGCAGAAATGGAGATTTAGAGAATAACGGTGAAGAGAGATGATGGAAACCATCCCCACTGCCACACACCGACAACTCGCCCCTCGCCGCCCCTGTCTGCGTAGCTGGGCCGCCATCTTATCTCCGTTCCCGTCCAAGCGGGTGGCCGGTGGGCCGCCGCGCTTCCGGAGTGACTGTCCTAAGACACGCGAGGCGTAAATGCGGACCCTCTACGGTCCGTGACTAGCGCGAGTGCAAAGTGCGGACAAGAGCGAGGGCTCTCCCGAAACCTGGACCAAGCAACTCACAGGCATGTTCTCGTAGGGAGGTCGTCACCGCCGGAAAGGAGCGAAAGCGGAAATCCTGTTCCTTATATCGGGTATGAAACCGGAAGTGACGCGCACGCGTTGTTCCGCCATCTTGGGAAGGTCCTGCATTCTCTTCGAATGCCGTGGAATGAGCTGCGGACTGCCATTTTCAGAAGGTCTGGAAGGCCCCTCGCGCCAGGCATGCGTAGCTGTGGTGAGAGAGCAGTGTCTCTTTTGAGTTCAGGGTTTAGTTGCTGTCAAGAAAAAAAAAATGGGTACTTTTTAAATTGCCGACCACGCTTCGACAGCTAATGGGAACAGTGGAGGTGAACACCAGCGAGGAGCTTTATCAAGGACGTGTTCATTTTTCAGTTACCGATATTCTTCAGCATTTTTCAGTTGGTTTAATTTACCCTGTTAAACAGTTCTCGACGTTTATAAATGAAATATTTGCGTGGAGCTTGGGGTGTGCTACGTTGGTAGAGTGCATGCATAGACGCACGAAGCGCTGGATTTAAACCCCAGCTTTGTGAGTCCACCAGGGCAGCGGAGTGGTGGTACCTGCCAGAGGCTCAAGGCTGTAATCCCCAGCACTTTGAAGTCTGTTAAGCGGGAGGATTAGAAGTTCAAAAACGTCCTGGGCTCCATAGCAAATTTGAGGTCAGTGAGACCCTGTCACAAAACAAAACAAAAAGTCCTGTTCATATTTGCTCCACCGCAACTGACCGTACTGTTTATCATTGTTTTAATGTTGCTGCTGTTTTCCAGTGCTATGAATAGAGCTCGATTTTGTATTCTTTCCGTACTTTCCCTTTGAAGAATAAAATCAAATATCCACACAGTGCTTAACATATGCATTGTTTTTTAGCGTGCTAATTAATTAAGTTCGGACATGGTTGGTCATGCCTTTATCACTGCACTCTGGCAAACAGAGGCTGGAGGGGACTGTGAGTTCTAGCCAGCCTGATCTAAGATCAGGAGAACCAGAGCTAAGAAGAGAGATCACTTCTCTAAAAACCAAATTAAAACAAAATAAAAAGTATGCTAATTAACTATGAAGCTGCTGTTAACTATTACCACATTGTTCAGATTCCTGTGTTGCTGCTCAGGGAAGTTAAATTGCCCAAGCTAGACATGGTGGCACCTTTATTTTCAGAACTGGGGAGGCAGAAGCAGGTGGATCTGTGAATTCCAGTGTCTCAAAACAAATTGTCCAAACGTAAGTGAAGGCGTGCCTGTCTTCATGTGTGTATGTACAGGTTGAGCAGAATCATTTTGGCATGTTTGCAATATACATAGTGAAGATATCTTGGGAAATAGGTTCTAGGTTTAAAAATGAAATTTGTTCCTCTCCATAGACTGAAAATAATTTCTTAAAAATACTTGTAGTATATCTGCAATTTATGACCTGTCCTGCAAGCAAAAGTAAGAATGGGGGGGGGGGGGTCAAGACTAGTTTTATCTGTGTATCCCTGACTGTCCTGGAATCTGCTCTGTAGACCAGGCTGGCTGTTTTAAAGACAGTGCCTTGGCCCGGGACAGTGGTGGTACACACATTTAATCCCAGCATTCACGAGGTAGCAGCAGGCAGATGTCTGTGAGTTTGAAGCTAGCTTGGTCTACAGAGAGTGCCAGGTCAGCCAGATCTAAAAAAAGATAAGTGTCTCATGTACCAGGCTGACCTTGAACTCTTGATCTTTCTGCGTCCACCTTGACAATGTTGAGGTTACAGGTGTGCTCTGACACCTAGTGTGTGTGCTGGGAAGGGCGCAGTGTTAGGGATCTAAGCCAGGGCTTTGTCCTTTGTGGGCCACATTCTACACCGGTGGCTCACCTCTTGCCTTAATACACTTCCTCATGTTGTTCGACCACCAGCCATAACATTATTTTCATTGCTACTTCAGAACTAATTTTGCTACTGTTGTGAATTGTAATGAAAGTATCTGTGTTCTCCAATGGTCTTAGATGACCCCTGTGAAAGGTCACAGGTTGGAACTCTGCTCTACAGGGAGCTTCACCCTGTCTTGTTTTTATTCACACTATCTTCAGCCAAGAATTCTTCTCTGCTAGTTGTTTGCACATTGGCCCTTTGTCTTTCAGATTTCAGCCTAAATGTCATTCCCTCCAAAATTACTCTGTTCCAGGAATAACATGCTAAAAACAGTTCTCACTGACTCCCAAGGCTAGATTTTTATCAATTTCATATTCATTGATACTACTTTGGTATCCGCCATGGTGAAAGTGTGACATCACTGAGATTAACAAAAGCTGCAAGCACATAGCTTTCCTTTGTGAACCTTTGTCAGCACACTTCTCATGGGAATTCAGGAACTTGCTTTATCCTTTTCCTTCAGGATAACAAAGCCTACAGGTCCCATTTGATCATCTTGTGCCTCGATATGGCACGAAGACATTGCAAAGATTCTTATCTTTATCACTTTTAAGAAATTGTCTGTATGTACCCATGTGGGGCACATGAGTACTGATGTTGGAAGAGGCCAGAAGCCTCTCTCTCATTCCATGCAGCTGAGTTACAGGTGGTGGTAAGTTCCCAGCATGGATACTGGGGACTTTCATGTCCTCTGCAGAAGCGGTATCAGCCCTGCTGAGCCATCTCTCTAGCCCCAGCTCATTGTCCTGGAGGAGGGCGCTTTGGTGATTATCTTTCCCTCCTCATTCTCTGAGAATCAGTGATGCAAATAGTAGAAATCTTGGGAGGCCAGGAATGTAGCATTGGTGGTAGAGGGCTTTCCTATCATTCATGAAGTCAGGGGTTAAGTGTCCCAGTACTGAACAAAAATAAGAAAATAAAAAATAAATAAAACTAAGTCCAGAAAGAGTCTGGCATAACAGAGGGGTAAAAGTCATCCTTGCGGAAGCCCTGAAAGCTAAGAAGATGTGATAAGTAAGATGAAGTTGCAGTGAGTTACACTGGCTAAAGTATCAGAGAAGCGAGCAAAGAGAACACATTGCTGGAATTAAACAGCCAGACACAAGAAAAAATAGGATGAGAACAAGAGAATTCATGAACTTTTATCAGAACCATCATGAAACTGAAGTGATTTACCTATTTACGAATTAATTTTGAACTTTCATTACATTTTAATTAATTTATTTGTACACACACGTGCACTCTTGCTACAGTGCCTGTTAGTATTTTGGAACACAACCTGCTTCTGGGTTACCTAGCCACCCATGATGCTGTCATCAGGTGTCGACAGCCAGCCAGGCGAACACACCTGGAAGGCGTGGTTACTGTGCCCCCTTAAAAGGGACCTTCCTATACGTGGTCTCTCTCTCTCTTCTCTTTTTCTGGGGTGCCCTATCCCTCCTTTCCCCCTCTCTTCCCCCACCATGTCCCGCTACCCACATCCTCCATATCCCTCCTAATAAACCTCTCGCAGAGAATATCGGTTGTCCCCCTGCTTTGTCTATTTTTAATTTATAACAGTGCCTGTGTGGCGATATGAGGATAACTTTCAGGAGTGAGCTCACTCCTTCCAACATGTGGGTCCTGAGTCATTGGGCCTGGTGGCAAAGGCCCTCGTCCACTCTCTGAGCTGTGTTACCAGCTTCTCCCTGCACTCCCATTTTGTTTTTTGTTTGCTTGTTTTTTTGAGTTTTGTTTTGTTTTGTCTGAGACAGGGTCTCTCTACAGAGCCCTGGCTATCCTGGAACCCAGTATGTAGAACAGGTTGGCTTCGAACTCACAGGAGGCCTCTGCTTCCTGAGAGTGAGAGCCAACACGCTGAGCAGCAGCCTTCTCTTAAATAACTATTTTCACACATGCACCACCTTCTCTCCAAACTGCTGCCCTCACCACTAGCTCCTCTTCTTAGTGTCATGTCTTTTGAGTTTTGGTTGTTGGTTGTTGTGTTTGTTTTGCTTTTGGGGGTTGTTTTTTGGTTTTAGTTGGTTGGTTAGTTGGTTTTTTTTCAAAACAGGGTTTCTTGGTGTATCCTTGGCTGTCCTGGAACTAGCTGAAGACCTAGCTGACCTCGAACTCACAGAGACCCACCTGGCCCTGCCTGCAATTAAAGGCATGTGCCAACACTGCCAGGTTTGTTTGTTTTTTTTTTTTTTGTTTTTTTTTTTTTTGTGGCCTGCCAAAAAACCAGGACTGTTTAACCAGGACTGCCAGGAGAGGCATGGTTGTAGAGCTGTCCACTGGACTCAGGTCCCTCACCAGCAGCTGTGCCACTAAAAACAACAACATCCTCTCTGCCAGGGAGCCAACAACTGCCAACTGCCAACATCTGTCTTGTCAGGGGCTGGCTCTCCTCAATGGGCCTTAACTGTCCCCCATCTATGACTGAATGTTGACAGGTCCACTGCTGTTATTTATTCCTATTTACTTATTTGAGACAGGGTAACACTGTATTCCTGGTTGGCCTGGAACTTATTATAGGTCAGGCTGACCTTGAAGTCAAAGAGATCCTTCTGCCTCTGCCTCTAGAATGCTGAGTATCAGGCCCAAAGGAAACTCCGTTCCCCAGACTCCATAAGGCAGTCCAAATATCCAAAAATGAGCACAACCTGGACTATAGAAGGGTTTCTGGTGGTTAGTTAAAAGGCAGCATTCCTCAGGAACTAGTAAAACTGGTTCCCTCTACCAAAAGGAGCCATTTCCCTTACCTCTGGCACAAGGGACCTCATGACCTCCAGGCTCCTTTAGTATCACAAGCACCCATTACACATTTCAAAGTCCAACCTAGCATCCTAGCCTTTCTCACCTCCTCCTCCACCCTAAACTCCCTCCAGCTCTCAGGCTTCCTTCCCCCAACTATCCTCCTCCTCCTCCTCCTCCTCCTCCTCCTCCTCCTCCTCCTCCTCCTTCTTTTTTGGTTTTTTGAGACAGGGTTTCTCTGTACAGCCCTGGCTGTCCTGGCCTCATTTTGTAGACCAGTCTGGAACCCCTGCCTCCACGAGTGCTGGGGTAAAGGTGTGAGCCACCACACCTGGCTGTACTCATCCTTCTTATAACCAGGCTGTTCGCACTGTGTTCTCTCTATGCTCTGCTCCTGCTTTTCTCTAGATATTTTCTCTGTACTTTATCTAGAGTAGATACATCGTTCTTCCCTCTCTCACAGATAGCCCTGGCCATATTTCTCTCTTTGCTCTGGACTCTTCTAGGTGCCCCTGGCTGTTTTGTCTCATATCTACAATAAAAACTTTCCCCTTAACAATACCATGGAGCTGGCATGGTACCACACACCTGGATTTAAAGGTGTGTACTCTAACACTTGTCTACCCCACGCCAACATTGATTTTGAGAGGGTGCATTCTAGTTTGCTTTTGGTTGCTGTGACGAATATCCTGGCCAAAAACAACTTGGTGAGGAAATGGGTTCATTTGGTTTATAGGTTACAGTCCATTATTTTTTTTTAATTTTTATTTTATTTTTATTAATTACAGTTTATTCACTTTGTATCCCAGCTCTAACCCCCTCCCTCATCCTGTCCCAATCCCACCCTCCCTCCCTCTTCTTCTCCTATGCCCCTCACAGCCCATTGTTGTGGGAACTAAAGGCAGAAAGTTGAAGCAGAAACTAAGCTGCCTTTCTCCCAGGCTCACACTCAGCTCCCATCCTGTCTTATACAGCAGCCCTACCTGGCTAGGGATGGTACCTCACACACAGGGTTGCCCTCTGACCTCAATTAGCAAGCAGAAAAATACCTGGGGCTGGAGAGAGATGGCTCTGAGATTAACAGCCCTGGCTGCTCTTCCAGAGCACCTACACAGTAGCTAAGTACCATAGAGGCTCACATGGAGTTATCGACTCCAGTTTCAGGAAATTGCTACAACACCTTCTGGCCTCCTAAGGGCACCTGGCGTGCATATGATACACAGACAAGCATGCAAGTGTAAAGTAGCCACACACATAGAAATAAATCTACATAGAGGCTGGGTGTGGTGATGCACGCTTGTAATCCCAGTACTCTGAGAGGCAGAGGCAGGCAGATCCCTGTGAGTTTGAGGCCAGCCTGGTCTACAAAGCAAGACCAAGACAGCCAAGGCTACACAGGGAAACCCTGTCTCAAAAAACAACCAATAAGTCTACACAGAGATAGAGAGAGACCCTGTATAATTAAAAAAAAAAAAAAAGAAAAGAAAACTGGAAAATTCTCCCACAAATATACCCACAAGCCATTCTGAATGAGATGTCATCTTCCCAGGTAGGTCAAATTGTCAATCAGTACCAGCCATCACTAGGTCTCGTGTAACCCTGGCTGGTCTGAAATCTCTACCAGGAGTAGGCTGACCTTAGACGTGCGTCTGACTCCTGTGTACTGGGACTGCACGTCTATGCCTCCATACTTGGACTTCAGAGTGATTAAAAGGACAACAGCTACCCTCTTGGGTTTAGATGCTGTCTTTCGCAGATTCAGACACTGAACATCTAAACCCAAGAGGGCAGATGTTGTAGCATCCGCTTCATCTTGAGGATTTCAACCAGTCATAAAATAAATGCTCTAGTTTAAAAATATAAAATAAATCAGAATAGTCGGAGTGGGGTACTGAGGTAGGCACAGTGGTGCGTGTGCATGACTGACTGTAGTTGTAGCTCTAGAGGAGGCTGAGTCCAGGTGGTCACATGATCTGACACGGATCTGGGCAACCCAGAGAGACCTGTCCTCAAATGAACTGAGCTGGTAAGGTGGCCCTGGGGAAGTTTGCTGGGACATCCTCAGCTTGTCCTCTGACCTCCACACTTTCACCGTGTGTATGCCCAGGCAAATACAAATAAATGTAATAAGTTAATAAAAGAAACTGAATCATTAGTTTGTGTGGTGATCAAAATGGATGGTCAACGGGGTCTAAAACCTCCTAGGAGTCCAGTTTCTGGACATGTCTGGAGAAGTTTCTAGTATATCAACCGAGGTGGGAAAGCCTACCAAACAGTGAGTGGCAGCCTTCAGTCTCCTAAGTGAAAAGGAGAAAATGACCTGAGCGCCAGCATTCCTTCCTTTGATTTTGAATGAAAAGTGAGCAGATGCCCCATGTTGAGACTGTCATGATGGACTACACCTGTAAGCCAAAACAAGCCTGTCTCTCGTACATTGTTTTTGTCAAGTATTTTGTTGCAGAAGAACAAAGGTAACTGATACATTGTGTTTGAGAAAGGACAAATGTAATCATAGATGGTGGCAGAAATAAAGTAACAAAGACACTTTCTCACCTGTTAGAAAAGTACCTTTTTTGGGTGGGGTAGTGCACACCTGTAATCCCAGCACTCAGGGAGGCAGAACCATGTGGATAACTGTCAGTTCGAGGCTAGCCTGGTCTACAGAGTGAGTCCAGAATAGTCAAGGCTACACAGGGAAACCCTGTCTTGAAAAAGAAAAAAGAAAAGTACCTTTTATTTCTTTATCTCTTCTTTCTTCCTTCCTTCCGTCCTTTTTTTCTTTATTTCCTTCTTTCTTTCAATGGGACTGAAACATGGTTAAGAGCTGGCTGCTCTTGCGGTGGGCCTGGGTTCAATTCCCAGAACCCATAAAGCAGCATCCTCTTGATAGTCTGTTGCTCAGGTTTCAGGGGATCCTTGCTCTCTTGTCGCCTCTGCAGGCGCTCTACTCATGTAGTGCATAGACACACGCAGGCAAAACACTGGTAAATAAAATAGGTAAATAAAAGTGGAAAGCTGGGCACGGTGGCTCCCACCTGTAATGTTCATACTTGAGAGACTGAGGCAGGAGGAGTTCCGGGACTTGGAGGCCGGGTTGAGCTACTGAGTTCCAAGCCTGTCTCCAGAACGTCACTCAATCGGCTGTATGTGTTTTGAGTGTAATTGGTGAGGCTGATTTTTATTTCGATTTTTCACTGTACTCCACCAGGGGGCAGATGGACCCAGCGTCCTAACTTCCCAACCCGCTTCTTTTCAAAGGGAATTGGGATCAGTAGACTTAGGTCGTGAAGCGCTGACACTAAGTTTCTAGGTCTTTCATCATAAACTCAAAAGCCCATGAAAACGCCTCAGCCTTTTGTCAGCTTTCAGTGCCACCCCCATCTCCACCATTATTGGCAAAATTCTTTTCCTCTTCCTCTAATCTCTTTAAAATTCCCCATTCCGCTTTGGTCGAAAGAGAGGAAAGACGGCTGGGCAAAGGTAACGGGAAGGGCTAGGGAGACCGGCCCCGCCAAGTGCGGGGAGTCAGGACCGCGGGAGCTGGACAGGCCTCTTCCCTGGAGGAGAGGGGTGGAGCCGCGAGCAGGGCCGCCTCTCTTCTTTCCCGGGGCCTGGGCGGAGAGGGAGGAAAACTTCCTGGCTGGGACTCAGGCAGTTTCTGCCTGCTAGCCCTCCGATCCCGCCTACCAGTACTGGCTCTTCCCGACCCCTCCCCCGGCGCCCCCAGTGTCCGCCATGGCCAAAGCCTACGACCACCTCTTCAAGTTGCTGCTGATCGGGGACTCGGGGGTGGGCAAGACCTGCCTGATCATTCGCTTTGCAGAGGACAACTTCAACAGCACCTACATCTCCACCATCGGTGAGCCCGCTGGCTGGATCTCGGACCCCAGACCCACCCCCTGCCCCCGCCCATCCTCGTACACGGGCTCCTGAATGACTAGGAACCGTAATTTTTGATCCACTCAGAGTAAGACACTAACTTCCAGTCTCTCGACCCCTGTCCCAGACCCATCCCCCATAACGTCCCAGAAAACACTTCAGACCTTTCTGAGACCGGGAACCCCAGCTGCTGCCCCCCACCCCTCCCTTTCTCAGTTATCTCCCAGTCTCCCCAAATCCACACAGACTCTTGTCATTTCCCTCCGCTTCCTTCTTCACTCCATCTACCCAAACTCCCTAGATTAACTCTATACGACTTTCCTTTTCCCTGCTTCCCAATTCTGTCGGCCTCTTCCTGACCCACTGGGCTTCAAACTGCATCCGCCCCACCCTCGACTCATCTTCCTAGCCTCCCTCCCCTCCCCTGCGGAGTGGCTGGGCATACTGCCACTGAGACTTTGGGGGCTCTGGGTAAGCTTCTGCGCTCACCCTTCTCTCTGGGACCCCGAGAGGCCTGGGAGGTGTTCTAGACTTTCAGTAAGGAGAATTTTTTTCTCCTCCCCTCTTCAACTTTCTTCCCCTCTTGACTGAGAATTCTGTCTGGTGACAACCGGGAAAGAAACTGTTTCTCACTCTGAGAACTAATTCTCCAGAGGAATCTGATGGAGGCCAGCTCCAAGCCTAGCCTGCTAGTTAATTCAAACCGACTCCCTCAGCCAGCTGCCTTTCCCACCCTCTTTACCCTGAAGGGCTGGCGGGGTGGACAGAGGGCCAGTAGCATGTGTGTGTTGGGGGAAGGGGGAAAAGACCACGAAAGTGAGAGCACAATGAAAGTTGTCAGCTGGCATGCTTTTAAATCCACGGAAGAGTTTCACCACCTCTTTCCAAAACTTCTGACCTCTAAGGGAAAAAAACGGTATGCTTGCCATAGGAATAAAGCTTTGGAAAAATTCTCATTTACACACCCAGCAAGGCGCCTGTTGGGCACGGGCACGGCTCTCCCCCACCATGTTTTCACATATGCACACATGCTGACCTGTCGTTACACCTTTCACCCCAGGAATTGATTTCAAGATTCGAACTGTGGAAATAGAGGGGAAGAGAATCAAGCTGCAAGTCTGGTAAGTAAGCTAGCCTGCCTGTCCAGACTGCTCCAGGACCCTCCCACCCCACCCTCGCCCTTCATTTCTTCTTCCTTCCTTCTCTTCTTGGTTATAGTTTTTGTTTCTTAAGACACAGTGTCATGTAGCCCAGCCTGGCCTGGGACCCCCTGTGTAGCTGAGGATGGCCTTTATGAGCTCCTAACCCTGCTTCTGTCTCCTGTGTTGGAGATTTACAGACATGTACAGGCATGTTGCACCATGTTGGTCTGATTTGCTTCATCCCCCCTATCCAGTACATCTTCTAATTTATTCAGTCTTGCTCAGACAGCTATCAGCTGTCCTTCCATTTCTCTTCCTGTGTCCCACTTTCAGCCTGTTTGTGTCTTTTTCCTCACCCAGAGCATTCTCTGGACTTGAAAACGAATGAGCTATGATGTAGAAACAGGCTCTAAGTGGTTAAAAGACAAGTTGCAGAGTTACAGATTTGACTCCCAGCCTCTTGCTCTCTCTAAATTTTAGAGAGCAACCTGGGTGGTGCACACCGTTAGTCCCACACTCAGGAGGCACAGGCAGGTGGAGCTCTGTGAGTCTGAGGTCAGCCCGGTCTGCGTGGTGTGTTCCTGCACAGCAGGGCTGTGTAGAGAGGCCCTGTCTCAAAAACATGCAAAATAATAATGATCATAACTTTAAAAGAGTTGTCGAGCACAGGAGGTCACATACGGAGGTGTGACCTGACTGTGCTAGGAAGGCTGGGGGCTCTGAGAGTGCATAAGAGCTTTCACTGGGGCACTCTGACGTGACAGAGAAGCTGCGGCAGGCCCCGACCGCCACTTGACCTCTGCTTGACCTTCGTTAGTTACCCAGCCTCCCCACATTTGTTTCATTTATAAAACGGGGACAGTCAGACATGCCTCACTTTGATACAGCGAGGTTAGATAGGATGAACATAAGGTGACACTTCAGACAGTGCTTGGCATCTATGAGTAAACAAGAGACATCCTGTTTCCCAGGCGGGAGCAACCCAGCCGTCCTTGTCCCTTTCCCCTCTACCGTTTCCTGACCCCGCTTCCTTTGAACCCCTCACCCCCAACGTTGTTAGGAAGAGACGTTCCCCCTTGGAGACTCCTTGCTTCTATTTCATTCTATGAAGGCTTTTGTTTCAGGGACACAGCTGGCCAAGAACGGTTCAAGACCATAACTACTGCCTATTACCGAGGAGCCATGGTATGAGGTGTGGGTCTGGACGTGGTTACAGTGGTCGTTTCACAAGTATAGAGGATGACAAGCACAGGGTCAGGGATAAAGGAGGGCACAGTGTGCAGAAAGCCCCGTGTGTGTCCTGTGTTTAGACTGCTGGATAGGACCTAGAGGGTTACCCAGAGACACTAGAAACCTAGGTGAGAATGTGGACCTGGAGGGCTACCCAGAGGACACTAGAAACCTAAGTGAGAATGTGATCCAAGGTGAACTTTGCTATCCTTCAGGGCATTATCCTAGTATATGACATCACAGATGAGAAATCCTTCGAGAACATTCAGAACTGGATGAAAAGCATCAAAGAGGTGAGAGGCCTCCAGAAGAAGTGGGGGAACAAAGTAGCTCCTGGAGGATGGTGGGGTGCTAAAGTGGGTGGGGTCAAGTTTAATTTATTTATCTTAATTTTATGTGTGGGTGTTTTGCCTGCATGTATATCTGTGAACCAGGTGCCTGCCTAGGATCCTCAGAGGTCAGAAGAGGATGGTGGACCTCTGGGACAGATGGTTTTGAGCTACCATTTGGACCCAGGTCCTCTGGAAGAATAGTCAGTGCTCTTAACTGTTGAACCTTCTCTCCAGCTCAAAACCCCCCTTTTTTTCTTCTTCTTGAGACATGGTCTTACTCTGTAGCCCTGGCTAGTGTAAAACTTGTGTAACCCAAACAGGTCCTGAACTCACAGTAATCCTTCTGCCTCAGCTACATATGTGTGTGTGTGTGTGTGTGTGTCTCCGCGTGTATGTCATATATATATATATATATATATTAGTTATTTTTATTTCATGGGCATTGATGTTTTTCCTGCATGGACATCAGTGTGAGGGTGTCAGATCTTGGAGTTACAGACAGTTGTAAGCTACCACGTGGGTGCTGGGAATTGAATCCTCATCCTTTGGAAGAACAGTCAGTGCTCTTAACTGTTGAGCCATCTCTCCAGCCCCCAAAATGACTTTTTTTTTTCCTTTTGAGACAGGGTTTCTCTGCATAACCACTTGGCTGTTCTGGAACTCACTTTGTGAACCAGACTGGCCTCAAACTCACAGAGATTCGCCTGCCTCTGCCTCCTGAGTGCAAGGTTAAAGGCGTGTGCCACCATGCCTGGCTCTGCCTCAGGTTTTTAAGTGCAGAAATTACAGGTGTGGGCCACATGCAAGCCCCAACTTTTACTTGTTTTCCTCTTCTCCTGGCCTGTCTTCAGAATGCCTCTGCTGGAGTGGAGCGCCTCCTGCTGGGGAACAAGTGTGACATGGAGGCCAAGAGGAAGGTGCAGAAAGAGAGGGCTGACAAGGTGAGAAGCCAGCTGTGCTTGCTGCAGGCTGAGGAGCAGTGCCGGGGGGGATTGCCGAGAGCACGGCTTCTGCCCTTTACCAGCTATTTCCTTCCCACCTTGCCCTACAGTTGGCTCAAGAGTACGGAATCCGATTTTTTGAGACAAGTGCCAAATCCAGTATGAATGTGGATGAGGTGAGATCCATACTCCAGGAGATAAAAATACTAACAGATTTATCTGCTCCTTCAATCTGTTCTAACCCGTTTCCCCATTAGGCTTTCAGTTCCCTGGCCCGTGACATCTTGCTCAAGTCAGGAGGCAGGAGATCGGTGAGTTGGTTCTACCTGACGAGGGACCACTGTGTGTGTCTCCAAGAACTGAAGCAGCTGAACTATGGTGTGGGGATTGCACACATATGGTCCCAGCACTGATCGGTGGTGGCAGGACTTCAAGTTCATCCTCAGCTACTCTGTCTAAACACATACGTGCCCATGGCACACACCTTTAATGCCAGCACTAGGGAAGCAGAGGCAGGCAGATCTCTATGAGTTCTAGGCCAGCCTGGTCTACAGAAGTGAGTTCCAGGGCGGCCAGGGCTACACAGAGAAACCCCATCTCATTTGAAAGAAAGGAAGGAAGGAAGAGAGAAGGAGAGAAAGGAAAAGAAAAGAAAAGAAAAGAAAAGAAAGGAAAAAAAAAAAAACAATTGAGGAGGAGGAGAAACAATGTTACAATTTCCACTAAGGGGGTTGTCCTGAGTTCATAGGCTCCTATTCCAGCCAGCTTTGACACAACTGATTCTTCTACCTTCCTGGCTCTAGGGAAACAACAGCAAGTCCTCAAGCCCTGACCTGAAAACGTCTGTCAAGAAGGACAGCAACAAGTGCTCCCTGGGCTGAGGAACATTTCTCGCCTCATCCTGAACCTGGAAGCTAGACCTGAGGGAGGTGGGCTTGAGGGGCCGTGGAAGGGAGGAACTGTGGCAGGACCTAGAGGGGCAGATGCACGGGCGATGAAGAGAGTGGGAGGAAGGGAAGGAAGAAAGGAATAGGGAAAAGGAGGAGGAAGGAATCAAGGACATGGGAGGTGAAAAGGGTTTGCGAAGAAGAAAGGAAGCAGAAAGGATCTCAGGTCTTAGACTGTCCTTGGACTTAAGGTCAAGTATTAATGTAAATATGTTGATTTCTGTGTCACTGGTTCAGGTTTAGGGTCCTGAGAGCCTGGCTTAGCACTTCTCTGAAGGTTCCTCACCCTTCATGGTCTTTGTTCGTATTAAAGACCCCTGTTTGATATGAGTGTTCCACTTGCATTACTTTCATTATTGTCAGAATTGCTCTCCACTCAAATCCAATTTTTGTCAATCCAAGATGTTTTTTTACTTGAATCAGGCTGGGTTCCTCCTTCTTGCCCCCAGGCAGTCTGAAGGATGGACAGCCTTTTTCCACTATGGGTTCCAGAGGACCACAACAGTGAACAGAACCTTGCCCTGGGCACACAATAACCCAGGGATGAAGGGTTTGAACAAGCTTCCAGGAAACTGCAACACTTAGTTTATCCAATGCGCTGTGGGACAGCTTGGAGTGTGCTTTGGTCAGCCTAAGTATTTGATAGCCACTGCTGGCTGATGTTGTTAGAATGGAATAGTCAGCCTTACACAAAGAGATACATCAGAAAGTAAAAGTAACCTGGCAAGCCAATTCCTTTTTGCAAAAGGGTGTGCCACAGCCCAAACTGAAAGTTCATTTAGTGTTGTTCAAATGTAAGTGGAGACCGACTCTGCCTCGTTCCACTCATGGGAGCTTAGCCACAGTCTTTTGAGATTGACTGGTTTAAGAGAATCCTCAGGACCAGAGAGATGGCTCAGCCGTTAAGAGCACTGGCTGTTCTTTCAGAGGTCTTGAGTTTAATTCCCAGCAACCACATGGTGGCTCACAACCATCTATAATGAGACCTGGTGTGCATGAAAACAAAGCATTCATATACATAAAATTAATAAATAAATAAATCTTAAAAAAAAAAATCCTCAACTGGCCAGTGGTGCACACCTGTAATTCCAGTACACTGGGAGGCAGAGTTAGGCAAATCTCTGGGAGTTTGAGGCCTACAAAGAGAGTTCAGGACAGCCAGGGCTATCACAGAGAAACCCTGTCTCAGGAAAAAAAATATATTCCTCAAAGCTGGGCCTGGTGGTGCATGTCTTTAATCCCAGGACTTGAGAGACACAGCCTGGTCTACATACAAATCGAGTCCAGGACAGTCAGGACTACAAGAGTACCCCTGTCTGGAAATGCGCCCCCCCACACCAAAAAAAAAAAATCCTCAAAAAGAAAAGGAGAGGAAGAGAAAGAGGGTCAGCTTAACTGTGGGTTGTTAAGCATTGCTACTGTAGCAAGGCTTTTTGTAAACGAAGTTCAACCACGCAGGGGAGAGTAAAGAAATTTGGATTCCTCTCCTAAAGTAGTTTTATAAGGTGGGGGGATTTATGGAATATTGGCCATTTGTGAGCTTACCATCTCTTGATAGGAAACAAAAAACAGAAACAAAAACCAAACCCTCTTCTCACAATTGTATTCGTTTGTTTTGAGATAGGGTTTCTCTGTGTAGCCCTGGCTATTCTGAAACTCACTCTGTAGACCAGGCTGGCCTCGAATTCACAGTGATCTGCCTGATTCTGCCTCCTGAGTGCTGGGCTCACAGGCAGTGCTCCACCGCACCCAGCTTTTCTCACAATCTGAAGGGAAGGCACAGGAGAGAGTCACTTCGTTATAAGTGGTTGCTGAGCATCTGCTTTGTGCGGAACAGCAATCACTAAACAGCTTTTTGCTGGCATGCGTAAGCACAGACATAGACAAAAATTTAAAAGAAAAACAGCTCTTGGTTTTTCAAGATTTTTTTGCTGGGCATGGTGCCTTTAATCCCAGCACTCAGGAGGCAGAGGCAGGTGGATCTCAGTGAGTACCAAGCCACCTAGGACTGCAACAGTGAGACCTGTCTAAAAGTAAAGTTTGATTTTTATTATTGTGTTACGTGTGTGGCTGTGTGTTTAAATGTGGAGAACAACACTTAGGGGTCAGCTTGCTCCTCCCACCATAAGTCCCAAGGACTGGACTCAGGTCACCAGGCTTGCATGGCCAGGATTTTACCTCATGAGCTGTCTCACCTGTCCTCTTTTGATTTTGTGCCACTGGATTTGTGTTGTAGTTACTTTCCTGTTGCTGTGAAGAGACACCACGACCAAGGCAACTTAAAGAAGAGTTTATTAGGGGTTTGCTTACAGTTTCAGAGGTTTAGAATCTGTGACCACTCTGAGCAGCATGGCAGCAGGCGGGCAGAAATGGCTCTAAAGCAGCAGCTGAGAGTTTAGATCTGATCCACAGGCAAAAGGCAGAGAGAGAGAGCCAACTGAAATGGTGTGGGCTTTTGAAATCTCAAAGCCAACCCCCGTGACACACCTCCTCCAACAAAGCCACATCCCATAATCCAAAATGTTCCAACAACTGGGGACCAAGCATTCAAGTACAGGAGCCTATGGGAGCCATTCTCATTGAGAGCACCACATTGGTCTCACAATGTAGACCAGGCTGGCCTTGAAATTACAGGGGTATACTCCTACCTCCCAAGGGCTGTGACAGCAACATTTAATTCCTAAAAAAATAAGGGAGCTGAAACTATTGTCACACAAAACCACAGCCAAAAAATTCAGGCTAGATACACTGTCTTTATCTCTACCCTCTTTCACTCTCTGACCCCCTTTGAGACAAAGTTTCCTGACATAGCCTAGTGTGGCCTCCTGTGGGAGTCTCATACCTCAGCTATGTATCTCAGCCTGGCTACACAGTGACATGCAGTCTTAAATAAACAAAAACAAGTGCTAATAAGATTAGTAAAAGTGTCAGCCATGAAGCCTAACAACATGAGTTCAAGCTCCTTCATAAAAAGCCAGATGCGGTGTCACACATCTGAAAATGAGATGGGAGGTGGAGGCAGGGGAATTGCCAGGAAGTACACAGCACAGCAACAGCAAGAAGATCCTGCCTTAAGGGGAGAAGAACCTTCTAGAAGATTGTTCTTGGACCTCCACAAGTATACCATGGCACAAAATCACTCATATACAGGAATGAACCCACACAACAAAAAAGCATACGTGTATTTTTGAGACAGGAGTCTCACCATGTCTATCTGCCTGCCTTTGCCTTCTGAGTGCTGGGGTTAATGGTATGTTCCACCATGCCCAGCCCCAATATATATATAATGTATATACAATATATATATATTGTATATATATATACAATATATATATATACATACAATAATATATATATATATTGTATATACATATTGTATAAAGATACAAAAAAAAATTTTAAATCCTCAAAAACTTGCAAATCTTCCTCCCTTGGGGGCTGGGGAGTAACAATATTTGTAATATGATAGCCAAATGGTCTACAGTTCTGGGGGGGAGGGCATGGGAATGACACACCTCTAGCTTGCCTACTTTCCTCTTAAGTTCAAGGGCAATTTTTTTAGAGTTAAATATTTCCTGGAGAATAAGCTCAAAGTGTTAGGGAAATCATGCTTCAAACAGAGAGAGGAAAAAAGTAGTTGCACTTTTCTGAAAAATACAGAGAAACAGCTTGACTTCCAAAACAGCACAGCTGTGGCCCTGTAAACTGCCGTCTGGATAAAGGTTCTTTCCTTCTTTCCTTCTTCTGAGACAGCCTTTCTCTGTGTAAACCCTGGCTGTCCTGTGGAACTTGCTTTACAGACCAGAGCTGGCCTTGAACTCAAAGAACCTCCTGCCTGTTTTCCAAATACACCGAATGCCACCGCTGCAGTGCTCTAGATAAACTCTCTAATGGCACATGTGGTATATACCAAATCTGGAATTCCTTATTTCTTTACTGTTTTTGAGGTGGGGCGTCCTGTACTCTGGAAGTGACATTGTGGAGGCGGGGGCGGGACTGCTGCAAGCTGAAGGGCAGAGAGTGCCACCTATCAAGGTCCTGCCTTAAATTCAAACAACAAAAAGACGATGACTCCTACGAAGGAGACTTTTTGTTTTATCTTGTTTTTTGAAACAGGGTTTCTCTGTGTATCCGTGGCTGTCCTGGAACTCAAAGATCTGCCAACCTCTACCTCCCAATGGCTGGGATTCAGAGTGAGATGCCAGGCAAGATCAACATCTTAGTCACATCCCAGGGAAGAATTTATTTTCATTAAAAAAAAAAAAATACTTTGTGTGTGTGCTTTGCTGTGCATCCTGAGTGTGCCTGGTGCCCATGATAACCAGAAGAGGGTAAGAGATCTCCTACAACTAACTGGATTGATTTACAAGTAGTTGTGCTAGGCAGTGGTGGCTCTCTGTGAGTTTGAGGTTAGCTTGGTCTACAAAGTGAATTCCAGGACAGCCAGGGCTACACAAAGTGGCTGTATCTCAAAAGATGACAAAAAAGAAACAAAAAAACCCAACCACAACAACAAGACTTTCTCATGGATGCTGGGAATCAAACATGAGATGGGTCATCTCATCTGGAAGAACAGCCAGTGGTGAGCCATCTCTCCAACAGGCAGATATTTTTTCTTTCTGTTCTTTTTTTAAATTTTTTTTCTCCCCCTCACCCCCGCTCTTTTTTTTTTTTTTTTTTTTTTTTTTTTTTTTTGGTTTTTCGAGACAGGGTTTCTCTGTGTAGCCTTGGCTGTCTTGGACTCGCTTTGTAGACCAGGCTGGCCTGAAACTCACAGAGATCTGCCTACCTCTGCCTCCCGAATGTGGGGATTAAGTCTATAACATCACACTCGGCACGTTAACAGGAGAAGTTCATCACCATTCATCTGCAAAAAGCCAGGTGGGAATCCAGGGACAAGAACAAGTTTCATTCAGTCCTGCCTCCATCAGTAGATTCCCTGGACCCGACTTCTCAAGGCCATCCAGGGTGGTGAGCGATGGATGGGGAGGGTGTCAAGAGTCTAATGGTGAGGCCAGAGTTTTGATGAAGGCCCAGAGTTGAAATGGAGCGGCGTATCGCCCCTTTTTATGTCTCTCTGGTCGCCTAGTTCTAAGTGAACAAACAGGCGACTTCAGGGAAAATGAAACCTCCGCCACCGCCATGCCAGCCGCCTCTGCAAACACTACAAGGACCACAATGCCGCGCGGCGCCCGGCTAAGACGTCACGTGACGCAGCGCAAACGCAGTGAGGGCCAGTGGCCACCGAGTCCGGAACGACTACAAGCCCCAGCAGGGGACAGAAGCGAGCACACGGGAAGAGCCGGCGTCGCTGGTGCCGGGACCAGGAGCCTCCGCGAGCAAGATGGCCGCTCCCGAGACGGAGGCCGAGGGGCGCGGGCACTGAGTCCGGACCCGCGTGCCCTCCTCCCAGCCTGGCCCGAACAAAGACCTCGCGCTTCTAGCCAACAAGTCCGCATGGGTCATTCTCTCTGTGCTCACGAGGCCGTTCCAACAGAGCCTTAGCTGGCCCAGAGAGAGAACTCTGGCAGCTCGCTGCTCGGAGCTAGAACCTCGGGGACGGCTGCTGCAACAGGTGCGACCCTGCCCGCCCCATGCTTGCAGGCGCGCGGAGGCGTGGCCTCCCCCGGGGCGGCCACCTCTGCTGGTTGCTGTGCGCTTTCACCCTAAAGCTCTGGTAAGTGGCTACCGGGGTGGGGGCGGGGGTCGCAGGCGAAACTGACGGTCCCCGCCCTCAGGAACTGCGCCGCCTCCTCCACTGGCACCCGAAATAGGTGTGCCCCGTCTTTTCTGGAGTCTCACCGTTGTTCTTACCACCCTTTCCCTACCTGCAGCGAAGCAGAGGCTCCGGTGCGCGAGGAGAAGCTGTCAGGTGGGTGATGGCCCGAGAACCCTGTGCCTCTACGTTTTTTTTCTCTTGTTGTGTTTTAGTTTTCAGTATCTGTTTAGTATGTCGAGAACACAGAAAAAGGAGGTGCTGGGAAGCTTAGATGGGTTGAGCGTTTGAGAGAAATGTTTTTCGAATGGTCTTCGGCTGGGCATTTTTCTTTCTTTTAGTGAGCACTTCGACTTCACCATGTTGGCTGGTGGAAGAGTTTGTGGTGACTGAAGAGTGTGCCCCGTGTTCCAACTTCCAGATTGTGAGTTTTTGCTTGTTTTTGTTTTTAATATGCTGGACTTTTTAAAAAATTGATTTATTTCTTTGCTTGCCTGCATGTATGTCTGTGTAAGGAGGTCGGATCCCCAGGAACTGGAGTTAGAGACAGTTGTGAGCTTCCAAGTGGGTGCGGTAATTGAACCAGGGTCCTCTGGAAGAGCAGACAGTGCTCATGACTGCTGAACCATCTCTCCTGTCCCCACACTTGTTTTCTTGTTAAGCATGCCATTGCTGTGTTTTTCTTCTCAGTTTTTTTTTCTTCTCAGAGTATTAAGATATGTTCAAATCCGAATTTAATTACATTATATTTTATTTTTATTTGGTTTGTTTTATGTATGTGGGCGTTTTGCCTGCATGTATGCAGTGTGTGTGTGTGTGTGTGTGTGTGTGTGTGTGTGTGCGCGCGCGCGCGCGCGCATGTGTGTTAGAGCCCTAAGAATCCAGAAGAGGTCATCAGATCTCCTGGTACCAGAGTTAGAAAAGATTACTAGCCACACTGTGGTGCTGGGAATGGAACCCTGTCCTCTGGAATTGCAGCCAGTGCTCTTAACCACTAAGCCATCTCTCCAACCCTCACTTCTTGTTTGTTTTTGAGATAGTGCTTCACTGTATCTGGTCTGGAACTTACCATGCAAGCCAGGCCAGTCTTAAATGTTATCTTTATTTTGTGTGGGTCATATGCCATGAAAGTCAGAGGACAACTTGAGAAAATAAAATTTGTTAAGCCCAGGTACAAACATCTTTTCCCACAGAGGCATCTTGTCAGCCCTCAAACTTGAACTTAAATTCCCTCTGAAAATCTGCCCTTTCCACGCGAATGACATTGTCCAACTAATACTCCTGTTCTATTCATATTTTATATGGTAGCCTCTGTAAGTTCTCCGTGTCTCCTCGATGGTTGCCTTCCTAACCATCACCAGCCGCCTCCATCATCCACGTCAGAGCCTCTCATTAGCCCCACTGCCCACCAGCTTGGCCCTTTCTGAAGCTCGGGTCTTCTTCTTGCCCACCTCTTCCTAATGTATGCTTTTGGACCTTTCTTTTGGTAGAAAAGCACGCCCGAGTGTGGTTCTACGGGGTACATGGAGAAAATCGCATGCAGCCCATCTAAAAGGAATGAATTCAGAAGGTAAGGACCGTATCTCTGCATGGGGTCACCCCTGACCTGTTCCTTTAGGTAGCTACTCCCCATCTTGGTATAGTTCGGAATACTGGAAAGAGGAGATTTGAGCCAAATTCCCCCTAATTCCTAACCCTAGTCTCCAACACTGATATAGGCCATGTTTTCTGATCGGAGAATTTGGTCAGGGACAGGGAATGTAACTCATTAGTAGAGTACTTGCCTAGTATTTAGGAGGCTCTGAGTCCAATCCCCAGCATTACTTTAAAAAACAACAATAAAGCCATGAGTGGTGGCGCGGGCCTTCAATCCCAGCACTCAGCAAGGCAGAGGCAGATTGATCACTATAAGATCAAGGAAAGCCTGGGCTACAAACTCCAGAGTAGCCAAGGCTACACAGAGAAACCCTGCCTTGAAAAACATAAATAAGGAAGTAAGTAAATAAATAATAATAAAATCGATGGGCAGTGGGGTGAATCGCCCCTTGAATTCCAGCACTCACAAGCTGAGCTCTGTGCATTCAAGACTAGCCGGGTCTACATAGGGAGTTCAGGTCAGGCTACAGTTCAGAGCCTGTCTCACACAAACAAACAAATAAATATTAAGCCATGTGTGATAACACAGATCTTTGATCCCAACTCTCAGAAGGGAGAGGCAGACAGATCTCTAAGAGAGCCTGACTACATTGCTCAGTGATTAAAGGCACTTCTGCTCTTTCAGAGGACCTTAATTCAGCCTCCAGTACCCATGTAGTTGGTAACTGTAACTCCAGTTCTCACGTATCCAGTACCCTCTTCTGGCTTTCTTGGGCACCAGGCACACATATGGTGCATATACATACATGCGTGAAAACAGTCTCACATATTAAATAAATAAATAAATAAGCAACTTGCATTTGATTTCTAGAATCCAACTGGTTGAAAAATAGAACTCACTCCAGCAAGCTGTCTTTTTTTTTTTTTTTTTTTTTAAGAAAAAGAGAAGTTGGGCATGATAGTACATGCTTGTAAGGAACCTCAGCAATTAGGAAGAAGAGGCATGAGAATTAGGAGTTCAAGGCCAGCCTAAACTACTTGAGACTTTTTTTTTTCTTTTTGATTTTTTGTTTTTGAGACAGGGTTTCTCTGTATGGCCCTGGCTGTCCTAGAACTCACTCTGTAGACCAGGTTGGCTTCACAGAGTCGGTCTGCCTCTGCCCCCTTTGTGCTGGGATTACAGGCATGTGCCCTCACTGCCAGGGGAAACTATCAAAAAATTTTTCTTTCTTTTTTTTTTTTTTTGGTTAATGCTGCTCTGTTAATCTCACCAGAGACTAAAGACACAACTGAATCCAGTTTGTCTTATTCTTAGATAGTATTTTGGGTAGGCGGAAGTGGAGAATAGTGGTTAAGAGAAACTGACTTTCCCTGGGAATGACTGGCCTTCTTTTGCCCTCAGCTGCCGTTCAGCTCTGATGGAACGACACTTATTCTGGAAGTTTGAAGGCAGTGTGGTGGCTGTGGCTTTAGTCTTCGCTTGCCTCGTCATCATCCGTCAGCGACAACTGGACCGAAAGGCTCTTGAAAAAGTCCGGAAGCAAATTGAGTCCATATAGCTGAATTCTCCTGTATTATGCCAGATCTTACAGACTGTACGTCAAGCAGAGAAAGCTCAGTGGGCTAATCTGTACTCTTAAACCTTGTGGTAGTAGCACCTTTCCCTGACTTCCTCTTCCAGACCGCTAATGAGCACAATAAAAAGTAAGATAGAGCTGGGGGCTTGGTGGCACACACTTGTAATCCTAGCACGTGAGAGAGAGTGTCAGGAGGGTCCTTGGCAAATTTGTTGGCAGGCCAGGCTGAACTAAATAGTAAGACTGTCTTTTTAAAAAGTAATGAAGGAGTAAACCAGTTTCCTTCCCTATAATGATTTGGCTTGGGGAGGACTGGGTGTGGTGCCATGTGCCTTAAATCCTAGCACTTGGGTGGCAGAGAGAGAGGCGGATGTCTGTGAGTTCAAGGCCAGCCAGGGCTACAGAGTGAGACCCTGTCTCAAACAATTAAAGGGAGCTTGTGAGTTGACGCAGTGGTCAAGAGCATTGCTCTTACAGAGGATCTAGGTTTGGTTCCCAGCATCCAAATCAGATGGCTTATGGTCACATGTAATTCTAGTTTCAGATCTGATAGCCTGTGGCCTCAAGCCATGCACATAAACTCATGCATAAACAGACATATACGGCAAAAAAGGAATAAATCTCTTTAGATTTCTTTTTCCACGTGTAGAAGTGATTTGTGTGCATGCATGTCTGTCTATGCACATGTGTGTATCTGGTGACTGTGGAGACCAGAAGAAGATACCAGTCCCTGATGCCACATGGTGCAGTGGATGGAATATGGTTCTCTTAACCTCTGAACTGCTTCTTCAGCCCCAAAATGAATAACTTTTTGAAAAATAATAATTTGGTGTGGGGGAAAAAGTCATGGGGCAGTGAGGGAGAGGGAGCGATGGTTTCTCTTTTATGTGTGTGAATGGTTTACCTGCATGTATGTATTCCATGTGCACGCCTGGTGTCCTCGGCAATCAGAAGAGGACATTGGACCCCCTGGGACTAGAGTTATAGATGGCTGTGAGTCACCGTGAAGGCACTAGGAAACAAACCCAGGTCTTCTGAATGAGCAATAAATGTTCTTAACTGCTGAGCCATCTCTCCAGACCCTGGCCTTTTACTCTCACTTAAAATTTCTGGGCTGGCAAAGTGGCTCAGGTTCAAATGTGTGATACAGTGTCTGGAGAGATGGCTCTGCAGTTTAACAGAGCTTGCTGCTTTTCCAGACTTGTTTTCAGCTCTGGTATCTGCAACTGGCAGAACTCACAGCTGTGGGCTCCAAGGCATCTGTTGCTGTCTGCGGGCACCCTTACGTATGGAGGTACTCGCATAGATGCATAAATAAAAATTTTAGCCAAAGGCATGTGATGGTGGCGCAGCCTTTAATCCCAGCACTCAAGAGGCAGTGGTGGATCTCTGTGAGTTCGAGACCAGCCTGCTCTACAGAGTGAGTTCCAGGACAGCCAAGGCTACACAGGGAAACCCTGTCTCAGAAATAAACAAGTACTTTAGAAAGTGTTTGCTGCATAGGCCTGATGACCTGAGTTTAAGCCCTAGAATGCATGGTAAGAGGAAAGGACCTAAATATTGCCCTTTATCCTCCACATGTATATCACTTATACACAAAAGAACATACACATCATACATACTTATTAACACACCTAATACAACAACGGTAAAACAGACTTTCTAAGCTGTATTTGGTACTATATACTTGTAGTCACAACACTTGGTAGGACTCAGGAGTTCGAGACCAGCTTAGGTGACACAGTGAGAAGTTGTCTGAAATAACAAACTTTTCTGGGATAGAATGTTAGCTAGAAAGTTTATTTCCTAGTCAAAATTTGTTTTCCCTTGACCTTACCCACAAAGAAAATCTCAAATACATGACAAAACTATTTGAGGTGCCCTGCCATAGAAGCAAATCTTGGTTTAGGAAACAGAAATCTCCTATGGTGTCCTGAGTCAGAATTCTAGGGCTATGGACCCCTCACTGGGAATCCAGATGAAACAGTGCCAGGGAAGCCTGAGCAGATTCTTGAGACTGGATGGGTTTGGCTTACATCTCATCTGCATGCACCATGACCCTGCTCTGCCCAACAGCTCTCGCCTTCGTTCCCATCGTTAGCTGTGTCTTTGTTGAGCCATTTGCACGTGGGAGTTCAGGTGGCCCCTCCAGTTTGTACTTCAGAACTGGAGTCTCCAGGCTTTCTGTCATGTCTTTGTGTGTCAAGATATTTCTGGATATCACTGAGGACAAAGTATAGCGGTAGAGCATTTGCTTGGGTTGGAGGCTGGCCCGGAACTCTCCTACTATTTAACTGTTATGGATACAGAGTTTTCTAGCTCATCAGTGGGCTGCTGTGCCCTTGCGTCTTACCTCCGTGAAGCTGATAACCCTCAGGCCTAGCTTCTGATTGGCCCTGAAAGGGACTGAAGCTGGGTAGGATGATGAGAGCCAGCGAAAAAAGAAGAATCTGAAAAGAAGCAAGAGGGCATTTGGGCTCTGGGGACAACAGAGGATGAAGGCAATGCAAATGGGATGTTAGTTAGGGTTGTCACGGTTTGGAGAACAGGGCTGGGCAGGCGGGTATTAGGAAGAATGGAGGGTGGCAGAGAGGGAGAGGGGAAGCACAGAGCACCCCGATGATACCAGAACACAGGTGCTGGTCTGGGCAGCCCTGCTGGAGGTCTGGGCGGTGAGCTTCTGTAACTGGTGGATCTGAGCCGCCAAGGAGCTAGGAGAAGAATGAAGAGTTAGCCAACAGCTTGCCTGTGGCTGCACCCATCCGACACTGCCGCCACTCACATGTTCTGGCTCTCCAGCTCCTGAACCTTTCTCTGTAGCTCCTGATTCTGTGCAAAACAGGCTGCCACTCTAGGGAGTGTGGAGAAGTAGAGTAGGCTTGGCAGATGGCTCCTTGACATGCTTTGGTGAGGAAGGAGCCCAAACACTGCCCACGGATGCCCAAACATACCTGCTCTCCAGCCCATCTATGTATTCTTTCTTCCGCCGCCGGCTGTCCTGAGCTGACTGCTTGTTGCGGATTTTCCTCCGGATCTTCTTGAGTACTCTGTCCTCTGCCTGGAGGCCCAAGGCATTCCATGCTGGACTCTTAGCCTCCCACAATTCTCCAACTGTGCCCCAGCATCCATGCTCCTCAGAGGCTGTGCGGAGCTCTTGGAATGGGACATGCTTTTAAGACAGGTGTTACCTTGGTAAGGGGCAGGTGAGAGGGCAGAGAAACCCCTTCTTGCCCCAGCAGATGCTTCTCTTCATCTGTCAGGAACAGACGTTGGCAGGAGAGCTGAAAGGAGGCAGAAGATGAGTGGGATCAAGGTCATTTGCTTCCAACACCCAAGCTGCCTTTTCACCCCCAGCCCACTTTCAGGAGAGGGCTTTCTGTTTGCACTGAAGGAGAAAGTGAAGGCAGGGCAGAAAGTTCATTCAGACAGGTTCCGTGGCAAGCCAAAGGGCTTTCCTGAGGAGGGAGAGTGAAGTTTTTTGTTCACACACAGAACCTTGATGTTACCACCAAGCTAGAGTGGTTCTGGTATCTTAGGACAATTGGAAGAGAACTTGCATGAATTCACCATGGTGGTCTTTGTTGAACTTCCTTATGTCAGGTAAACGTCCATTTGGTAAAATATTTGGTTGCCTGTCAACCACAGGAACGTGTGACTCATTATCCCCAGGCGCTAAGCTAAGCTCTACCTACGTCAAGCTGTCCACTCTCAGACAAGGACTTTCTTCCTTCCTTCCTTCCTTCCTTTTAATCATTTTCTTTTTAGTTTGTGTGCATTGGTCTTTGCCTGCATGTATGTCTATGTGAGGGTGTCAGATCCCCTGGAACTGCAGGCAGACAGTTGTGAGCTAACATCTGGGACCTGGGAATGGTCCTGGGTCCTTTGGAAGAGCAGCCAGTTCTCTTAACCTCTGCGTTACCTCTCCAGCCCTGAGACAAGGAGTTTCTAAGGACAATCAGGATGGCTTTTCTAGTAAAATGTGTGGGAAGGGTAGATGTTATCTGGGTAAGCTGAGCCTGTCAGCTGAGGACCTCGCCTTCTCACTAGCATTTTATTCATTTATTGTGTATGTGTGTCTTTTTGTGTGCATGTGTGGAGGTCAAAAATAACTTCCACCATGTGGGTTCTAGGGATCAAACTGATCTTGCTGGTCCTCGTGTGCCTTTTTGAAAGATTTACACTGGGGTTTTTGTTTTGTTTTGTTTGTGTGTGTATAGGGTTTTGTTTTTTCTTCTTTCTTTCCCTTTTTTTCTTAACTCAGGATTTCTCTTTGTAGCCTTGGCTGTCGCTTTATGGACCAGGCTGGCCTCGAATTCACAGAGCTCTGCCTGCCTCAGCTTCCTGAGTTACTGTGGTTGAAAGCATGTACACCATGCCTGCCTTTTTTTTTTTTTTTTTTTAGTATTTTATTATTATTTTTTAAATTTTATGTGTGTGGGTGTTTGCTTGGATGCCTGCTGCCCACGGAAGAGGGTGTTGGATCCCTTGGAACTGGGGTTATAGATAGATGTGAACTGGACTTGAACATGGATCTCCTGGCAAGGCAGCTAGTGCTCTTAACTACTGAGCCATCCAGGCCCTGGATGATGATGGTGAGTTTGAAATAGGATGTCACTGTGTGGACTAGGCTGGCCTTGAATTTAGCCAGGCTAAGTTATTGGTTTTTAGAGACAGGGTTTCTCTGTGTAGCCTTGGCTGTCCTGGACTCACTTTGTAGACCAGGCTGGCCGCAAACTCTCAGAGATCCGCCCGCCTCTGCCTCCCGAGTGCTGGGATGACAGGCTGCACCCCACAGCTGGCTTTGGCTTTTTACTGTGTGTACAACACATTTGTCCTGCGCTATCACCTTACCCCTTTGAGACTGTTTCTCACTAACCCTGGAGCTAATCTAGTAAGTCCCTGTGACTGTCCTGTTCCAACCCCTCATTCCATGTGGGTTAAGGGAATAGCCTCTTATGTGGGTTCTGGGGATCTGATCTAGCAGCTCAGGTCCTCATGCTCACATGCAAGTGTTTTTCCTACTGACCAATTTTTCAGCCTCTGGCTTTTGCTTTCTGATGGCCTTTGGCTCTTGGCTAAATCATTTCCTTTCCTGATATCCCCCTTTTTTTCCTCTAAGTGTTTTAATAGCGTATTTCTTCCAATCTCTCTAACCCAAATCTCTGAGAGCGGACCCCAGAGGGCTTCATCTAGAAATAGAACGTGCAGGGATGCTGTGCTGTATACAAACCCCTAGCACGGCTTCTGGTCCCAGCTTCAAGCACTTTTAGAGGATGGCTATGACCTGTTCCCTGCTCTTGGACACAGAGAGGAGTATAGCCTAAGCATGGCCTCTCTCGGTCTGCACGGCAGGAACGTGTAGCCGCCTTGGGAAGGTCGTGATAGAATACTCCACATATCACTGAAACACGGCCACAGGGCACCCGCCTGCTGCTGCTTTGCTCTCACCCTGCCCTCCTTAGCCAGGTGGATTCCCGGGAGTCCTGTCCCATTTCCCTTCCCTGACCCAACGCTGAGAGAGCAGCTCCGACTGAATGGAAATGCACACCAGGTCTAGGCTTCTCGAGAGCTCCCTCATCCCACCTGCTCCTGAAGTGAATCCTAACCACTCCGATCCCCAATAGCTCTCTGGCCCCCCATGCTTTTCTGCACTTAGAATTGCTTGTTTCTCCTTGGCCTTCAAACCCACTGCCACCACAAGTTCCTCGTTACTTCCTCCTCCCTTTTCCTCTGCATTCCCGTTCGTGTGAGGACATGTGCACTGTGGGAACACCAGGCTGGCTGGCCTCTAGACTCACCAGGGCTGCAGGAGGTGCTGGGGCTACGGCGCTGGCTCTTGGCAGGATATGTCTGTGGGCATCAGAGGGCAGTGCACTGGCTGTGCAGGCATCAGGTACCATGAATGTCGGGCGCCACTGATCTGAAGAAGATGCAAAGACCGGACAAAGGAGTCAGAGGACTGTGGGCAGGGCCGCAGTTTGAGAACCTTCTCCCCTTAACCTCGTGGCCAGGGCTGGGCCTCAAAGGGCCATTGACCTCTTTCCAAAAAGTCCACTGACCTATCTGGATGGAGATGAGTCCGAAGGTCGGCCCAGCTTCCTCCTGAGTGCCCTGCAGGGCCCCTGCCTCATAGACAACCTCATAGAGGGCAGGGGGACTGGGTGCCTGTTGGGCAGGGGATCTAGGGTCTTCAGAGACCCCACTGTCACTGGCAGGAGATGTTTCTGGGCAATATACCATATTGGGATCAATGAAGAGGTTCAGAAAGTCATCAGGCTCACCCTTCTCAAGGCCCTGTAGAAGGAGAGGAGAAGAGTAACAGCAAGGAGTTCTGAGAGTCCCACCTGAGGCAGTCTTAGATCCTTTATGCTTCAATTTTTTTTTTTTGCTTTTCCTCCTTGGACATAGAGTTACAATTCACGTGTAGTTTGTGGTCTCTGTTCGCAGACCTCTTTCCTGTGGGGACTTAAGGCTTCTAGTCAGAGTTGTGCAGCCTCACTCCCGCTTCCACTCAGAACACTCAGCCACAGCCCCTATTCCTCTCCCAGCCTTGTAGCCCCTGCTCTTGCAGCCTGGTCACCAGAACCTTCGGTGGGGGGCAGTTGAGTCCCAGCTCCAGGAACGATCCTGCTGAGAAGATGTCTTCCGGAAGCTCCAGCAACTCAGGGCACCCGAGCTCCATGCCCCTGCAGGAAGGTGAGCGGGGTAGTGAGGGAGGTGGTGGCTGCCCTCCCCTTCCTTCCTTCTCTGCTATGCTCACACGAGGCAGCCCCTTGAAGGGGTACTCACTTCAGGCCTTATCTTCTAGGTTCACCTCTGGGTATTACCTGGGGTTTTTTGTTTTGTTCAGAAAGCTTTGCCCTGCCAAACCACCCTAGCCCTCTGAAGCCCCAAACACTACAGCTTTTCTTTCCTCCAGGATCCTGTATCCTGGTCCTGCCCAGCCAGGCCCCGCCTATGCAGTCTGTGGAGTTGGGGGTGGGGAGAGGGATGGGGTTGGGTTGCACCTGGCCAGTAACTACTGTTGGGTCCTGTATCTGAGAGTAGTATTAAGACACTGCCCAATATGCAAACTGAAATAAAACTGTAGGCACCCACACCCTTCCCGTCAGTTTGCCCAGTGCTGGTAGACCTTGCTGAGGGCTTGTGGTCTCAGCAAGAGCTGAGGCTGTAGTAGCTGGCACAAAGGATACCTGACTGTCTGTCCTGAAGCCACAATCTTTACAAGAGGGAGACCCATCTCAAGGTAGAGAACGATGCCAAATTTTGAAGGCAGCCCTCCCCGGTCACCCTGCCTGCCCCATTGCCACAGGCCATTCTTCCACCCCTGAGTCCTAATGAGACGGTAAAGACTTAGGGCAGGGCTTCTAGCCAATGGCTGACTATCCCCAGGCCCCAGCCCTCAGGGTTAGCAACAGTAGACTAGCAGAGAAGGGTGGGCAGAAGTAGTTTGGCAGAGGCTCCCGGCTCCAGCGAGATGCCCTCAGACTCACTGTAGGAAGGCTAAGAGAACACTTCTAGGGTGGGAGCTACTGGGTTTGTTTACCTCATGATTCCATGATTCCGAGACCCCAAGGTATTACTTACACAGACCAAGCCTCCAGCCCCTGGCAGCCGGCTGTGCAGTTCGGGCTCTGTGGACCCAGGAAGCACATTGAAGCACTCTGGGTGGGGCTCCGGCTAATCCACGCACGGACACAGGGCAGGGAAACTGCCATGCATTAGCCAAACATTTACCTTTGGTCTGAGTCTTATTCCTTCCATAAACTATTAGTTTTATGCATAGGTTTTGTGTTTCTGAAATGGGAGTGAAGACGTCTTATTGTTCGGGTGGCCTCCTGAGTAGCTGATACTGTATCTACTGTACTGGTGTAGCGTGAGAGCTGTTGCAGAGCCTGGTGTAGGAGTTCATCCTGTAATCTCAGCAGTCAAGAGGCTGATGCAGAAATGTCCCTGGGATCAAGGCCAGCCTGGGCTACATAAATCCTGTTTCAAAAGCAAAAGCAGAGCTGGGCATGGTGGCACATGGCTTTTTATCTCAGCACTTGGAAGGCAGAGGCAGGTGGATTTCTGTGAGTTCAAGGCCAGCCTGATCTACAGAGAGTTTCAGGATAGTCAAGGCTGCACAGAGAAACCCTGTCTCAAGAAAGCCAACCAATCAAAGAGTAACAAAGTGCAAGAACAGTGTGTGTGTGTGTGTGTGTGTGTGTGTGTGTGTATCACACTCTCTCTCAGATGATGGAACAATATTAAAGGAGAATTAGAGCATCTGATGAAGACTTTTGAACTGTTTGTTTCTTTGATTTATACAGGGGGAGCAGTGTGTGTGTAGTCTATACAGTTTGTCACAGAACCTAGGTGGTAGATGTGTTTCTCTCCTCCAATCTTCAGGCATTTAAAAGCAGCTTTTAGGCCTAGTCCTGGAAGCCTCTAGCCTCTATGTCGTCTAACCTAGGCCTGGAATGTGTTTCGTCTCTGAGACTTACTTCGGAATAAGATCACCTTTACTTGTTCTTACTGAGCCCTGGGCTGGCTGGTTCAACTCAGCTGTTCTGGCTCAAACTCCTGGCTGACTGAATCCAACTTTTCTTTCAGCCCTGGAATTGCTCTGTTTGGCTGCAAACTAGCTCCAGCAGCGTCTTCCAGTGTGGTTTCTTCTCATTCTCTGGCTGCTTTGGTCTTCACCTGAGTTCTCTCTCCACAACCTGTCTCTTATCGTCCAGGTAAAACCGCCTCCTCTTCTCTCTGTATTGCCCCTTACATCATATTCTGTCAAGTCTTTCTCTGATTTGTCACCACCTTTTCTGCCACTCAACTAGACATCACTTTGAAACATGGGTGCTTCCTTCTAGAAACTAACTTTACCTTCATTGTTTCGGATTAAAGCCTGGACCACCGCACCTGGACCTAAGCTTTTCTTTACCTGAAACTTGCTCTATACCAGGCTGGCCTTGAGTTTAGAGATCTTCTTGGCTTTTTCTCCTGGGGTTAAAGGTGTGTTTGTATTCCATCGGGATCACACAGACCTGGAAGAGGTCTTTGGATGTGATCTCTTGCCAGAGCAGCCATGTTCTGAATTAAAATTCCTCTATAGGTATGAGGTTTTGGCTCAGATTTGTTAGCTCATTACACCTGCTTCATTTCAAGAAAGTTTGTGAGATCTTTATGATTTTCTTCTCTCTTTCTCTGCACCATGACAAGTTATAGATCTTGTTTGTGTTTTGTTTGTTTGAAACAGGGTGTTACTGTGTATTTCTGGCTTGATTGTTCATTTGTTTTTTGAGTTTTTTTGTTTGTTTGTTTGGTTGGTTGGTTTGGTTTTTCAAGACAGGGTTTCTCTGTGTAGCCCTGGCTGTCCTGGCCTCACTCTGTAGACAAGACTGGCCACCAACTCAGAGATCCACCTGCTTCTGTCTCCTAAGTGCTGGGGTTAAAGCAAGCACCACCACCCCTGCTTCTTTTTTTTTGTTTTCGTTGTTGTTTCCAGACAGGGTTTCCTTGTATAGCTCTGGCTGTCCTGGAACTTACTCTGTAGACAAGGCTGGCCTCCTCCCAAGTGCTGGGATTACAGGTGTGAGCCACCATGCCCGACTTTTTTTTTTATTTTTATTTTTTGAAGCAGGATCTCATTCTGTATATCTGCCTTGTTTGTTGAGGCGGGGTCTTACTGAAGTTTTGAGATTTTTTTTTTCTTTTTTTGAGGCCAACCCCATGAGATCTTTATAATTTTCTTTTCCTTTCTCCTTTCTCTTTTTCTCTCTCAGCATGAGGGCAATCACAGAGAGTAGAAGGGAAGTGGCTCACACACCACTGCCCAACTGTGGAGGCCAGAGGAAAACTTTCAGGAGGTAGTTTTCTCTCTCTTTTTTGTTTTGTGTTTTTAGTTGTTTTGAGACAGGGTTTCTATTTACAGCCTTGGCTGTCCTGGACTTCATTTATAGACCAGGCTGGCCTCGAACTCACAGAGACACACCTGCCTTTGCCTCCCCGAGTGGTGGGATCACAAGCGTGCACTTATCTTTTTCTACTTATTTGGTTCTTTTGAAGCTTACTGTTACCAAGGCTGGCCTCATTTTGGAAATTCTCCTGCTTCAGCCTCCCAAGTGCTGGAAAGTAAGAAGCAAGCAAGTCACTTACACATGTTTGAAAATTTTGTTTTCATCAGCATTGTTCTGTCATGTGAGGTACAACAGCTCTAAGGCTCATAGAGCAGATAATATTTTTTCAGTTTGAACAATAAGGAATCAGATGCTCATGACTAAAAAATAGTAATTTCAAAATGCAAGGTTTGTGGTTTTTTGTTTTTTTGTTTTTTGATCTAGTGTCTGATGAGTTACACCCTTCAAGTAAAACAGGGAAACTGTGCTAAGTATGAAAAACATCTGGGAGGAGCATCTAGAATCCAAATGTGTGCTAGCCTTCCTCATGCACATGTGACTAAGCCTCCAGTACAGACTGGAAGGAGCTAGCATGTATGGACAGCCTGAGCAGCTATTAGACACAAGCATTTTCATGCCTCTCATCTGGGTCCACAGCAACCCAGATAGGACAAGCTAGCTTCTTTTTTTTCTTTTCTTTTTTTTCTCTTTCTTTTTCCTTTTTTTCTTCTCTCTCTCTCTCTTTTTCGGTGTTGTTGTTGTTGGGGTTTTTGTTTTTGTTTTTCAAGACAGGGTTTTTCTGATTAGCCCTAGCTGTTCTAGGACTCACTCTGTAGACCAGGCTGGTCTCAACCTCACAGAGATCTGCCTGCCTCTGCCCCTGTGTTGAGATTAAAGGCACTCACCACTGCCCAGCACAAGTTAGCTTCTTTAAGATTACTCTGTACCAGCATGGTGGCACACGCCTTTAATCCCAACATTCAGGATGCAGAAGCAGGTGGATCTCTGTGAGTTAGCCTGGTCTCAAAAAACTAGTCTAGGACAGCCAAGGCTACACAGAGAAACCCTGTCCTGAAAAACAAAAACAAAAATAAAAAAAACAATTTTTTTTTTCAGTTTGTCTCTCCTGTTCAGGCAGCAGGTTGACAAAATTAGATTTCCTAGGTTGATGTAGGATTCAGAAGAAGGCAGAATTATTTTTGTTGGCATCTTTGGAGACCAAGAAAGGTAGTGTTGAAACCTGGAATATGGAAGTCTGCTTTGAGATATAACTGCAGCCATTTCAGCTTCCATTTTGTTTCTAAGGTGAAACTAAGTGCAAAAATGTAAACTTCTAAGCTTGCTTCCTAAAAGTAGTTCCTCATAGATGACAGTAACAAACTCTGCCAAGGAGCCAAGCTAACCTACACCAACAGACCCTGCCAGAGTGTCGAGCTGACCTTATAAACTGTGTGACTCAATAGTGTCATAACTCATACTTGGTTGTCTATATACTTGGCTACACTCTGGTTGTACTTGGAAGATCCTCACTTATCTCGCCTAGAACCAATCAGCTTAAAGGTTAGCTGATAATACTTTGTCTAGTTAGCTAAAAGTGTAATATTGCTTTAGTACTGCCCTCACCATGTCTTTTGCACTTGGTTATTTTTCTATAAAAACCCTGCTGTGAGGGCTGGAGAGATGGCTCAGAGGTTAAGGGCACTGCTGCTCTTCCAGAGGTCCTGAGTTCAATTCCCAGCAACCACATGCTGGCTCACAGTCATCTATAATAAGATCTGGTGCCTTCTTCTGGCCTGTAGGCACACATGCAGACAGAATACTGTATCTATAATAAATAAATAAATCTTAAAAAAAAAAAAAAAAGAACTCGTCTTGGGAAAAAAAAAAAACCTCCTGTGAGACCTTGTAGAGGTCACAGTTAGGCTCCTGAGTCCTTACTGTGGCCCTGACTGATCAGCTTGGAGAGGCATTCAAATAAACCATCAATATCTATCCAAGACCCGTGTTTATGTGACACTTCTCAGCCTGGAACATTGGTTAAGTCAGGTGGTGGTGGCCCTCACCTTTAATTCCAACACTCGGGATGCAGAAGCAGGTGGATCTCTGAGTTTAAGACTAGCCTGGTTTACAGAGATAGTTCCAGGACAGCCAGAGCTACAGAGAAACCCTGTTTGGGGAAGAAAACAAGAAAGAGAGAAAGAGAGCTAAAGAAAGAAAGAAAGAAAGAAAGAAAGAAAGAAAGAAAGAAA